CAGCCAGGCAGGCAGGCAAACACAGGCAGGCAGGGAGACAGACAGACGAACAGAGACGCAGAGAGAGAGAGAGAGAGGGAGACAGACAGACCGGAGGCAGACAGGCACACAGACTTTCCTTGAGACACTACTGCGTACTACTACTCATTATTTTCAATCGTGTACAGTATCAGTATCACCCAAAAAACCTCTAGGAAAGAGAAACGCAGAGAAGAAAAACACAACCGAATGGAGGGACAATGACTTGATAATTCCGAGCAAAATGCCGAACGGCAAATAAATCAAGAGCCACCCTGTGTTCCGTCTGGAACAGTGGGAGCACGCAAACAAACCCAGTATGTCCGGCGCAACCTGGATTACACCTACAAACCTCTAGGAAGGCAGAGAAAACGGAGAAGAAACGCAACCGGAAGGAATAGACATGACTGCGAAGTATGTGTCAAGTGGCAGATTAAGACACACTTAAATTGAAGCCGGCGTTAAACATTGATATAATAAGTTTTTTTTCGCGTCACAGCATACCGCAGTGGGACGCACTTGAGAAAGAGTTCCAAGGAGCGAGATTCAGATAGATTCAGGTGGGTCTCGGTGAGCATTAACCCTTTATAATCCTTTATATACATTCTAGATACTGTGTTGCCGGTGTAAAGCGCTGAAACTTGGACCTGTCAACGGCCCTGAGCAAACAGTAAGGCGAGAAGTCAGCAACAATATACAGTAGTTTAAAATCATCATCTCTGAAGGCAGGTACACACACAGACACAAACACACAAACGCACACCGACACACCCACGCCCACATGCACACAGGCATTTGGCTACACGTTTGCCACTCAGCGTTGCGCCATGCTGGAAAAGTCCACTGTGCCAAGCCACCTCGACGTTTATACCTTTAACTTTCGTTTGTCCCCTTCTCCAGTTCAAAAGAAAACCCTTGGAAAGCGGACGACAACATCCATTTCACCGATCAGTTGGTTTGTTCATAGAAACCGTATTTGCACGCACGGCTTCTCAAGCAACGTGTTCCCGGTGTGCAAAGCCTTGACGCCAGTGCTAATCTGCTAATCTTCTCGACACTAAAGTGAACCTATGCTGCACACGACCCCTCCTCCCTCCCCTTTTTCAGGCATATAAAGCTGGTGATGACTAGAGTGGTGATGACTATATAGTGACCAGGCCTTTGTTTTGATGTGCCCATCAGTGCCCTGTTTGTTTGATGGATTTTGATGGGCACTACAGTTCTACTTCATTCAATGAATCATTCTGCTTGTTTGATGCCGGAACTGCTCCTCAGTGGACATCCAAGCGTTGGAAGTCAAGATCAAGGCATGTCACACCTGGTTCCCTGCCCGGACGAACCGGAGTTGCACTGGCAGCTGAATTTTCTGAGTCGCAGCGCGTTTTGACTAACTTTCTCAAACGGCCCTGGGCCTTCTGCCCTTGGAGTCGTGGGCCTTCTGCCCTCCAAGTCAGTGGTACTGTGGTTCACTTGGCCTGCACATCACTGCCTTCCGATGGTGGTAGCAGATCGAATAGAATCTCAACAAATTGTGCATTGAACGTTTCTTTGCCAGTGTCTTCGTGCGCTTATTTGCAACAGAAAAGCTACATTGTCCTCAATTCTTGCTGTTTCAATCAGTCCTTCTCCATGGCACGAGTGCAGGGACATGTTACGTTGGACAGTACAACTGCGTCGCGCTGATGATGTTTTTCAAGTTGGCAAGTGGACGTCCCGCTGTCAACGATCTCGTTTGTTTGAATGAATGAAGACCACAGGAGCTGTGGAGAGTTCTCATGAACCAACTGCAGGGGAAGATATTGACCGTTCTAAAGCAGTTTTGCTAAGTCCACCGCCAGCTGCCCCTTACTAATTGATATACTAGTTACTAGTTATTCAATTTGCTGAAGTACAATTCCGTTCTTCACTGCCGCCACGCTCGAGGGCTTGGGTTTTTAAACCCATTGAGCCCCGGCTCAAGCCAAGTTAGTGCCGGGATTTTGAGTGCTGATATGGACGTGCCTTCAAAAGAGATCAAGGTCGGCTGGTCAGCTAGTGTGTGTCCTCCCTTGATCTGTCGTATTCCTTATTCAAATTCCAGTGAGCAAAGACCGAGATTTGGTCTCTGTTGGCGTGCCATGCAGCAGGTCCACTTCCTAGTCCTTGAGTTTCGCTTGATGCTGTTGCTTGGCAGCCTGAACCTTCGACATGCTAGGAGTTGCAGATCCGCTCATTTCTGACTGCTTTCGGTTTCCTCATGTTTCCTCCAAAGGTACTAGAGTCACTAGAGCAACCCTCAGTCAATCCAAAAAAACAAATCGGCGAAATCAGCGACAAAGATGATGCCTCGACTGCTCAAGAGGAACCCCTTGTTGTAATGAACTAATGGCTGCTTCACCATCGTGCTCATCATAATTATCATTGAATCAGAATCAGTCCAATGGCTGGAAACCGAGTTGTGTGAGCTGGTGTGCAAGCATCAGCTGACGCTGTCGGCCAGAGGCCACTTCGTGGCAAGGAGCAATGCGATTCAAACACACACACACACATAAGTATATATATATAACATATGTATTTGTTTTTGGTTCGTTGAACCCTCAACTTTCTCCAGAGATTGCGTTTGTGCCCGCGCACCCTCTCGAGTTGAACATGACAACTGATTGTAGTATATAACGGGCCTTTGGCACTGTACTCAACATCTTTGTTCCATGTCACGTTTGGATGCTCAGCTCGCCAATCCAGTTGATTTGGGTTGGACGGTTGGACCTTTTGAATGTATCCAGTAAGCAGAATGAGACATCAGCGATTGAAGAAAAAGGGTCATCTTTGCCGCGGCCGCCGCGCAATACACTCGGCTGCAAGCAGGTGTGCATGCAAGTACTTAACAAAAGTTCTTAAATCTTAGGCTTGCTTGATTGGTTTGGAAGATGAGTCTTCAGACAGTCGTGCAAGTGGTGGTGCACTCTCGACTCTCGATATGAAATACATTGAAATACTGTAATGTACCAGTTTGTTTGCAAAGCTCAACACTGGTTGTGAGGTCCAACCGGGCAAATTATCACGATGTAGCAACTCCACGCCTGCTGACCCAAATGTGAATGCTTGGCAGGAAAAGCACCACATTGCACGGGTTCACCAACAACTTAACGCTTCAAAAGCAGGCACAGCGACTTGACGTTGATGTTGCTCATCGTCGCTGTTGGGGTCGTCGCTGTTGCCATATGACAGGGATGTTTGGAGTGTTTCCAGGCCGTAGACAATGTGAAGCCGGAGCACTACGAGGATTTTACGCGCCTCAATGAGGTTCTGGGAGTCGGCTCAGTTCGAGTTACGTATATGTTCGTGCCACAGTGGAGTCATCTTTCCAGGGCAGAGAAGGACATGTTGTGTGTTGGATTCAGATATTTATTTTCTTTGTGTTTGGTTCTGTGATGGAAGGATGGAAGGAAGGGAAGGGAAGGGAAGGGAAAGGAGGGGAAGGAGGGAAGGAGGGAAGCATCTTCAGCACTCCGCTGGGTTGTCAACTTGTGCTGCTTGCAGTGGCCAGTGTCCTCAACACTGACAATCTGTGCTATCGAATTTGAGGAATGACTAACTTTTTCATGCACGCAAGGTCGGAATGAGGAGCATTACTAATTGCCAGGGCAACATGGGCTTTGCTTTGCTATGTTCTACCCAGTGAAACGAGCTAACGAGCAGCTTGGCCAATGAGTGAGGCCCCTGTAGCAAGGGCACCAAGTTCCCCAGAAATAGACAACAAGTGCAAATATCCTGGTCTTGGCAGTTTCTCATGTAACCAATGGAGAACACAGGTGCAATTTCAACAGTTTCTTTTTTCTGAATGTGTACAACGGCTGCTTCACGCTCAGTCACGCCAACAGCCTTAGCCCCACAGATTCCGCGCACAACATCACAAAATAAAACCACAGCATCTAAGCTTATATAAAGTTCACCGATGAGGGTAGCCAGACTCAGACTCGGGGCAAAGGGCTGGTGGGCAAAAGAAGGAGTAGGATTTAGAGATCCCCATTGCAAAACTGGCGAATCAGTCTGTTGCCTACCACAGGATTGACATTTGGCATGCTTGTGGTGAAGATGTTTAGACTCTAGTCAGTTTGCAACCTTGACACTGCAGAGAGGCCATGTCAAGCTGCGTGGAGACCTTTGGACAGGCGCTGTTCAAAAGCCTTCGAAAGCACCTGATTGCACTTGGAACAATGAACAGCGTGTGTCATCCTTCCTCAACAAATCAGTACATGATGCTGTATGTGTCGAGTGGAATATAATCCTGAATCATCGCATATCTTGATCATCGAGTTGGAGAGGAATGGAGGTACTGTAATTAGTGCAACAATTGCGCACCCACACAAACCAAACAGTATTCAAAGCAAAGCAAGGTCGAACCAAATCTGTCCGAATATGATCAAATATGTTTTGTGCAGTGTAAATCGTAATGCAAGTGGCTGGACTGGAAGCGGTTTCCGCTTCCAAGAAAAAACAGAAAAACAGTGCAAGGCCAAGCGAAAGAACACCAAAAAGTCGGGCTCCCAGGAGAGTGGTTGTGGCCAGATGCGACAAGGTATCGCTCGGGTGTTGAGCGGCAACGGCTCCAAGTTCAGAACCAATTTCCATGCCTGGCATGCCTCAGGTACTGTGTTCTCATCGGGGACAATGAGGCAAGGCTGCTAAGCAAAGTTACGACTGGGGAGAAGGAACAATACAGCGTGGACAGAAAGCAACGTGGCAAGAGAATTAACGTGTTTGCAATTTTTTGCTCATACATGAAAGGTGATGAGGACCTGTGCGGGTCACCTCAAAACCGCCAGGATCCATGCATAACGTCAGACGTAAGAGCTCCGTGATGAGCCCCTGCACAAGGCCATGTGTCGTAAGCCTGACTCGAAGGAAGCCGGGAAGCCAAGTGGAAACTTGGTCTTGTCGAGCTTCGACAGGCACAAAGAAAGTGAGATCAGACAAAGGTTGGAGTTGGAGAAGTCACAGCTACTATCCAGTTAGCCAAGCAGAGTGCAGTATCTTCAACACATCAGATCTGAACATGCACCATCACGTTAATGCTGTGATTGTTTTTCCCAACATGTTTGGAGGACTCACCAATGTGCTCAAGATCAGACAATGGACAAACTGCTATCGTGGGCAGTTGCTGCAGCCACTGTTATATAAAGTAGGTTTTCCTTCTTGCTGGTGTGGCTTTTGGTGGAGATGCTCCATGGATGTTGAACATGTGCGAAGTACCAGTGCAGAGGTGTTCCATGGTTCCAACAATGCAGGACAGGAGCAGCATATGTTATCTCAAGCTGGTGTATCTCTGGTGCATCGGCAATGGCAGGTGGATAAGCTGCTTGCAGATGAGCGCTTCAAACACCTTCTGCCAAGCAAATATACGGAGGTCAGACCGAGAATCGGACTCCGATGACCGAGCGAGGCAGCATCATATTAGAGGCAGACGATTCTAGATGGATCTCGGATCTGTTTGGCTCTTGAAATTCATTGACTGACAGGCACTCTGCAGCTGGAGTTCGATCGCTTGACTTAAATGAAACTTTGGTGTTTGTTTTGATAAGTAGTTTTCAATCAGATTATGTAGACCAGGAGTGAATCGGTTCGAACGAGCGTGCCTCTCAATTTATCATTGATTCCATATTGGCAGGTGGGCGCACCAGTCGAGTATGCACATGAGTTTGACAGCTGCAAAGACTATGTGCCACTCGGTGGGATTGTTCGATTTTATTGGTGGCGGACAGTCAGTACATGTCAGTACATTGTTGTTTGTATATTACGAAAGCCAGCCGATAGGCTAGGCTTGAGCTTTTAGGGCGAACGAAGTGAGTTAAGGGGGTGGGGGGGTGGTTGCTGAGGAGGACCTTGGGAGAGCGCTCCAAAGCGAGGGTCAGAAAAGTAGTGAAAATGGGGTCTGGTGATGCAAGTGATGTAATGGACGCCGAGTAGTGCATCATTAGCATCATGAAGGCATTTGGAGGCTATTTGGACAATGGACAATGGGCACTGAGCAATCGAGTGGAGACAGGGACCCAGTAGGATACGAGTTACCAGGACAACCCGTAACTCGCGAAGCCCATAGAGAACCGAAAGCGACATGAGTTCAACTCCATGGATTTGGATTGAGTTTCGGTGGGGATGCCTGCAAGGTTGACTACATATCCGCATAGGGCTCCTGCCCCCTAGCAAAAACTATGCTTGCACCATGTCCTTGGTCGAGTGGATGCTTCTCGCGGTGTCCACACGCGCCGAACGTTTATTCCGGCTTGCTGGTGCAGATAGATAGACAGATAAATTCTATATACGCACTGACTCATGACGTCGCCTTTTTGCTGGCCGGCAGCCCTGGCCGAATCCAGTCAGCCTGGGTCCACGGCCCAAAGATCTACACACGCAGGTGCCAAAGTCAAGGCCTCTGAGTGAGTTGATAAGAAAGAGAAGAACAAGAAGGTGTTTGGATCGTTTAATCAAGGCCCCTTTAAAGGACAAAGACTATGTTTGTGATCGAGCCCCAACATGACTCACTCAAGTCCAGGCATTTGCACCGATAGGCGCGCAAATCCTCACTCCTTTGCTAGCCCAAGCTACTCCCGCTCGACCTCCCCTTCTGCGCCGCGGGATCAAGCGTCCGTGTCCCGGCTAAGACGTGCCCGTTCACTCTTCCAAATCAAGGAATGCCGCTGCCGCTTTTCGACGTGCCGCAGTATACATTGCAAACTTCAAACACTCCAAATGTAACAAGCACATAACTGCTTCTTTTCAAAAGCTGACTATGGAGAAGGTCTTACTGCCGCGCGTGCGCGTGTGTATATACATATTTTTCCCGAATGCGTAGCGAAGGCTTGGGGGTCTGGGGGTGGAGCCTTGTTCGCGATCCGTTGTTTCTACGTCCGCAACCGTTCGCAGGTGTCCGCAGTAGAGCGCTAAGGCGCTGCCATTGGGGAAGCTTTTGCAAGTGACTTTTCATGGATGTGTCACGTGTCAGTTTGCAACGCTATTCCATTGTGATTTGCTTGAAAATGACATGTCGCGCAAGAAGCGTGATGCATTTCGCTGCACAGGCGCAGTGGTTTGAGAGATCCGCAGTTTACTGCGCAGTTCCATTGGGATTAGCGGTTGGAGAGTCGTGTTTTTGGGGTGTTAGATGTGGCCGTGCCATTGGGATTTGCGTTTCAGGGTGTGGCATCGAAGCTCTGTTTTCGTGACAAGTCTCAGCTGAAATGGCGATTTTGGTGGATGGGAGTATGCTCAGAACGGGTCGAAATCATTCTAAACGTGTGGTGTGGTGCAAATTTTGTTGAAGCTCACGTGAGATGATATTCCCTTTCGTGGCAGGCACAGTACTTTGTGCTGATTTTGAGGTGTGGAATCGTGAGGTTGCGAGGTGTGACGGAGGTGACATTTCGTGGCAGGCGCAGTACTTTGTGCGCGTTAGACGTGTGGATGCGGAAAGATTCGTGGCAGGCGCAGGGAATCGTGAGGTCGTGAGTTGCGGTAGAGGTGAATGTCGCTGTCACATTGTGATTGGCGTGTGAGCGGGTATTGTTTGGAGGGGCTGGACTCGCGAAACTGCTTGGCAGGGCTGCGTGATGTGTGTGCTCCGATGGGTGTTTCCGCTTGACTTTTGGAGGAAGTCTCGTACGAAATCCTCGTTTTGCAGACTTTGACATGTGAGTTTTGGAGGAAGTCTCGTACGAAACGCTCGTTTTGGAGACTTGACACGTGACTTTTGGAGGAAGTCTCGTACGAAACGCTCGTTTTGGAGACTTGACGTGTGACTTTTGGAGGAAGTCTCGTACGAAGCGCTCGTTTTGGAGACTTGACGTGTGACTTTTGGAGAAAGTCTCGAACGAAACGCTCGTCTTGTGCAGCCTCCAAGCGTGACTTTTGGAGGACGTCTCGTACGAAACGCTCGCAGGACTGCTTCTAGTGTGCCACAAGAGTGTCCCACAAGAGTGTCCTACAAGAGTGTCCCACAGCCACAAGAGTGTCCCACAAGAGTGGTCCTACAAGAGTGTCCCAGAAGAGTGTCCCACAAGATTGTCCTATAAGAGTGTCCCGCAAGAGTGTCCTACAAGAGTGTCCCATAAGAGTTTCCTACAAGAGTGTCCCACAAGAGTGTCCCACAAGAATGTCCCACAAGAGTGTCCTACAAGAGTGTCCCACAAGAGTGTCCCACAAGAGTGTCCCACAAGAGCGTCCCACAAGAGTGTCCTACAAGTGTGTCCTACAAGAGTGTCCCACAAGAGTGTCCCACAAGAGTGTCCTATAAGAGTGTCCCACAAGAGTGTCCTACAAGAGTGTCCCACAAGAGTTTCCTACAAGAGTGTCCCACAAGAGTCACAAGAGTGTCCCACAGCCACAAGAGTTTCCTACAAGAGTGTCACACCAGAGTGTCCGACAAGAGTGTCCCACAAAATTGTCCCACAAGAGTGTCCTACAAGAATGTCCTACAAGAGTGTCCCACAAGAGTGCCCCACAAGAGTGTCCTGCAAGAGTGTCTCACAAGAGTGTCCCACAAGAATGTCCGACAAGAGTGTCCCATAAGAGTGACCCACAAGAGTGTCCTATAAGAGTGTCCCACAAGAATGTCCGACAAGAGTGTCCCATAAGAGTGACCCACAAGAGTGTCCTATGAGAGTGTCCCACAAGGAGTGTCCTACAAGAGTGTCGTGTAAGAGTGACCCACAAGAGTGTCCCAGAACCGTGTCCTACAAGAGTGTCTTCAAGAGTGTCCTGCAAGAGAGTCCCACAAGAGTGTCCTGCAAGTGACCCACAAGAGTGTCCTACAAGAGTGTCCCACAAGAGTGTTCCACAAGAGTGTCCCAGAAGAGTGTCCTACAAGAGTGTCCCGCAAGAGTGTCCTACAAGAGTGTCCCACAAGAGTGTCCCACAAGAGTGCCCCGCAACAGTGTCCCACAAGAGTGTCCTGCAAGTGACCCACAGAGTGTCCCACAAGAGTGTCCCAGAAGAGTGTCCCACAAGAGCGTGCTATAAGAGTGTCCCACAAGAGTGTCCTACAAGAGTGTCCCGCAAGAGTGTCCCACAAGAGTGTCCCATAAGAGCGTCCCACAAGAGTGTCTCACAAGAGTGTCTCACAAGAGTGTCCCTTAAGAGTGCCCTACAAGAGTCTCCCGCAAGAGTTTCCTGCAAGAGTGTCCCACAAGAGCGTCCTACAAGAGTGTCCCACAAGAGTGTTCCAGAAGACTGTCCTACAAGAGTGCCCCAGAAGAGTGTCCCAGAAGAGTGTCCTTCAAGAGTGTCCCACAAGAGTGTCCCACAAGATTGTCCCACAAACGTGTCCTACAAGAGTGTCCTATGAGAGTGTCCCACAAGAGTGACCCACAAGAGTGTCCCATAAGAGTGTCCCACAAGAGTGTCCTTCAAGAGTGTCCCATGTCCCACAAGAGTTTCCTACCAGACAGTCGCACAAGAGTGTCCCACAAGAGTGTCCTACCAGAGTATCCCACAAGAGTGTCCCACAAGAGTGTCCTACAAGAGTGTCCCACAAGAGTTTCCTACAAGAGTGTCACACAAGAGTGTCCCACAAGAGTGTCCCACAAGAGTATCCCACAAGAGTGTCCCACAAGAGTGTCCTACAAGAGTGTCCCACAAGAGTGTCCCACAAGAGTATCCCACAAGAGTTTCCTACAAGAGTGTCCCACAAGGAGTGTCCTACAAGAGTGTCGTGTAAGAGTGACCCACAAGAGTGTCCTACAAGAGTGTCTCACAAGAGAGTGTCCCATAAGAGTGCCCGACAAGAGTGTCCTACAAGAGTGTCGTGTAAGAGTGACCCACAAGAGTGTCCTACAAGAGTGTCTCACAAGAGAGTGTCCCATAAGAGTGCCCGACAAGAGTGTCCTACAAGAGTGTCCCACGAGCGTGTCCTACAAGAGTGTCCCACAAGAGTGTCCTACAAGAGTGCCTTTCAGGAGTGTCCCGCAAGAGTGTCCTGTAAGAGTGTTCCACAAGAGTGTCCTACAAGACGCCTACTTTACCGGGACAAGGACTTGGTGGACAATCGCTTGGCGCAGGACTCTTCGGGCGCAGCGTTGGTGGTGGTGAGGACATGGCGAACGAGGCGGCGTATGACCTTGGTGGAGGAGTTACCTGATCTGAGCGGCGCAAGCTGGAGGAGAAGGAGCGCGATCGTTGGTTGGCGCAGCTGCTGAAGCTCCTGACAGAGGCGGAGTACCTGGGGAGCACGGTTGGGCCTTAAGTACTTGAAGACCTGCGCTGTCGGTTGGTGCCAGGTTCCCTGTCCAGGCATTGGTGTTAACAAGATCAGCAATGCGCCGGCGGATGGGAGCTCTGAAAGCGGATCAAGAATCAAGGCAGCTTTTCAATGCTGCTCTTCGTTCGCGTGATGCCGAGGGACCTCTGGTCCCTGGACCGTGAGGTGGGCTTGATTGGCAACATTGGGGGTTGGGAGAAGGATTAAAATGGTACAGTTCTTCATGGCTTGAGTCTTTTCAAAGCAGCCGACGCCGAGCGTGGGATGGAGTTGCGAGACTACCTACATGAGCCACGCTCAGGGTCATGACGGGGTACCCAAGGCAATGACTGTCTTGAGGGTGTTGTGTGGCTATATGGGCTATTGCCTCGCGCGGAGGTAGACTCAGGTAGACTCTACGTCGATGTTCTTGGAGCGCAGCAAGGGCGACGGGTTACTAGGAACCGGGCGGGCTACGGCGTTTCGGATTCTTTATGGAAGGATGATCCCTCGTTGCTGAGCAGAAGCGAGGCTGGCGCCAAACAATTGTGGAATTGCAAATTGACTGGAAGGCCGTCTAGCTTGGAGTACATTTCCTGCACTCCTCCTTCGCTGGCCGCGGTGCCTTACCAAAGGGACATCATGTTGTTCGTGACAACATTGCTTTTTTGCGTCGCAGGCGACCTGGAATGATTTGCTGAAGATTTTTTCTTTCCATTTTTCTGCTAGCAACTGTTTATGCCCGTTCTGCCTCGCAGACCAGAATGTGAAGGATTTTGGAAGGCCTTTCAAGGACTTCAGGCCAACTGCAGCTTGGAGGGCTTCACGCCAGCTGCTTCAAGAGAAATGCGGGGAGCGTCCCCGATGTGTGCGACCTGGCTGTTGCAGCATATCTGCGTGGGTCGTCCTCATTTCAGTGATGAACAAGTTGCTTTCCTTTGCCCTGCGCGAATGACAAAAATGTATGGGCTGCAAAGCCGCGCAGATGTTTTGAAAGGGCAACGGGCAACGCGTGGCCATGACCGCTGTACACGCTTTCAGCGAGGATTCCTGGGGGAGTGTTCTTCGGGCTTTGCGTGGCCGCCCAGATCGCTCTTCCTTTCTTCAGAAATGATTGACAACAAGAGTCGACAAGAGGCCCGTGCGCTAGTTCAGGGGCACCAAAGGTGTGCTTGTGGGCGAAGTGTTCTGGGTTGACGCCGATTTTATCCAGACCGCAAACCCAAAGGTTCCACAACACCGCGCCCGGTTTTCGTGAAAGGACCTACAAGGCAATCGCCAGTGTGGAGCTCCTGACAGTGACCTTGCCCATCGTAATTCTGGCACCTGATTCGATGTATAAGTCTTGGGCTGGCGCAGTGGAGGTCGCGGGATTCACTGACAGTTGTCAAACGCGTACCTGCTGGACCGGTTTTGGGCTATACGAAGTTCCCCTATTTGGTTCTGATGGAATTTGCCTTTCAACTTGAACACCCCGACCTTGAACTTGAACTTAATCTTTTTTGGGTTCCCCGGGAGCAAGACGAGCCGGCTGACGAATTGAACAAAAACTACTACAAAGAGTTTTGTCTTGGACCTTGGACATGGGAACTTTAGACTTCAAAGTCCTTTTCAAGCTTCTGCAGGCAGCCAGGCAGCCAGAGATTTAGATAAGGAGATACGTTGGAACTGAAGAAAACCCCCAACGGTACATTGTTTCTTGAACCAAAATGGACACTGGAGCTTCTGTCCCGGCCATATCGCAATATCAACATCACATTACTAAACTTCCAAAGTGAGCAAGTAGCGCGTGGAATCTTTTTGTCGCACTGCTTAGGTTTCTTGTGTTTGAGGCGTAGACGGCATAGACTTTGTTAAGCCAATAGCTGTTGGACCGTGTTCAGCCGGAGTGTCTCAAAGAAGGCATTTTTTCGCCAAGGGCCACTAATTTTGGCGACATCCAGCTCATCATGATGTTTGCTGTTGCGCCCTGGGCCTTGGAGTGGATCAGCCTTGCAGAAATTTAGGCTATCGTGCATTGAGTGGAAATGTCACGGGCGAACCTGCAAGAGGTCAACTCACGGCGAAGTGGTAGCGCAATGTAGCACATGCATAGTGATCGGCAGCGGTCGATTTCATCAAGTTATATAACGTTTGGCCAGTCTTTTGGCCTTACAGGCAAAGCAAGTACAGGTGGTACGGTGGTACGTAAATTGTCACTTCAGTTCTGTACAGCCACAGAACCCTGTAATTTCAATATGTACGCTGCGAATTTGACATTCATGAGAACCTGATGATCACTTGCCAGATTTTGGCGCTGAAAAACGTATATAAGCACGCGACCGTGCTGCATGGATTGGTGGTCCCCGAAACAAACCTGAAATTTCCAACCCTTTGCGTGGTAATATTTTTGTTTTAGATGAACAATATCCCAGTTTGGCAGTGCTTGTCATTGTGTGCAGTTGCCCGCCGGCTGCCGCGATGGGGAGCTCGGGAGAACGCAAAAAGAAGAAACCAACGTGCGTGAACCAAAACATGCATGAGATAGCAACTCCACAACAGAAGAGATTGGACCCGATCAACAACAAGGCCTGAGATGAGGTTGTAGGAACTGAGGCCAGATCGTCGAAAGAGGAGGAAACAATTAGTGAAGAGGATGATGCAAGCTGCAGACCAACACATTTTACGAGATTAATGAAGATCCGAGGAGTGGGCCATTTAGGGCGACTTCAAACTTGGGTGCATTAACCCGCAACCCTACCAACCCTGCTGCCCGCTGGTGGTTTCTTAGCAAGAAACTTCCAACACTTCGTGTGGTAGGTAGGTTGGAGGCCATGGCTATTAGGTTGGAACTGTTGGAACCCATCGCTACTAGGTTGGAGGCCATCGCTATTTTTGACCTCTTCATTTTGCCTTGGAGGTCTTGGTTTCGACAACTCGCCCCGTACTTTGTTCGCGCGATCAGAGTCAATGAAACCCTCCAACACGGCTTCGTTGCGGACGCCTTTCCAGCGTTGGCTAAGGTCCCAGGAGGAAGAACAATTCCGCTTGAGGATGCGCCCAAGAGCAATTGTGTTGAAGTTGGGGCGAAGTCATTCACCAGGTAAAGGAATCAGCAAGACAAATTTGTAAGGGTTCATAGTCAAGTGGAAACCGCTTGCTCCTGCCATGGTTCTTGATCCCAAATTGTTCCTGTCCTGTAGGTGGCAAAGCTAAGCAAACTTCGCTTCGCAGGAACGACTATTTCCGGAAGTTTGTCACGAACACTACTGGATGTCATGCTGACGTGTTTTTCTGAAGAGTTTGCCGTGCATGCTGCGAAGGATCTGGGTTGGTACTGATTTGAACACAATGTTTTCTCTTTCAATAGATAGACATGATACTGTAAGACTATTTTTTGCACGGACGATCACATTGCTATCAACCAAACAGACAAAAAAGCTTCATTGCTTGACAAATATGGACATATTATATGGTTTGAGTTTACTCTTGAATGAAAGAACGGAGGAGAGTGCCGTTGTTCTTTACTCTCAAGTGCTTCAGCAGGGACGGCCATGGATGCCCCGGCTCTCGTGGCAGTGATTGCCATTGGAGGGGCTTTCTGGTTGAAGGGCCTGGTGAAGGATCCAGTGGTTCCACCAGCACCTTGTCATTGCCACTGCACCTGCGACTTGCCCTCTCCCCCTTCGACGGTGACGCCGACTTTGATCTTACTCTCCGTGGCTGCACTTCTGTTGGGCTGCATTTTGAGTTTTCTCTTTGTGAGCATCCCTGAACAGAAGCAGGGAGGATCTGGATCACCTATAGGGTGGAAAGGGAGTGCAAAGGCTCAGCAGTCGGTTCATGCAAATCACCCAGCAATGAACGTAGGTGGAATAGCATTGGTAAACTACGGCGAGCCTGGACCAATCTGGCATTGTCGGGCCCTCCTTGCCCCTGCAGGGGGGTCCACTTGGGCCGTATTGACACCTGACCACGACGTATACGTCGAAGAACTAGCTGTGACCAACAGTGACTACACCGGCTTCTTTTATTGCGGAGAGACTGGTTTGGTCCCTGGACACATCAACCCGTTTACGGGTTTGATCCAATGACACCCCAAGAGCTAGGAGCCTTTCGACTGCAAGGACAGGTCATGGCTGATGCCTACACAGCAGCGCATGGAGGACCAGCCCCTGCCGCTGCAGCACCAGCTGTGGCCCCAGTCCCAGCTCCTAGGCCGGGAGCGGCAGCACCTGCTGCTGCGCCAGGCGCTTTGGAAGGTGCAGCCGTGGAGGTCGTTGACACTTGGGTTGCATTGGAAGATGGTGGCCCTTGTAGGAAGGGGGATGTGGTGGCTAGAGACCCAGCGGCTCTTCTGGCAGGCCATATGGTCATGAGTCATGGGAGAAAGGGGGATCTTGCCCGCAGCTGGCACCTCGGTGATGATCAGGAAAGTCAAGCCTTCAGAGGCCTCCGCATATCGTCTGGACGATTTGAGACTCCTTCCCATCCAGTATGACGCCCAGGGCATTCGACGCAAGGAGTTCAACTTAGCTGTTGCGGAGATGGACAATGCAGAGCCTTCGGGAGGGGGGCTTCAGTTGACAGGCCCTGCAACTGCACTACGATTGATGAAGGAGTTGCGAGACCAAGCCATGACTCCTGGCACTTTCCATGAGTATATATTGGCTTCGAACAGCAGATGTCCCTCGAGGTGATCGTTCTGTTTATGAGCATGAATGTTTGTCTAGGATCCTGGAATCCATGGTGGTGGTGGACCAGCTGAACATCCCAGCTTTACAGTCAGCAGAACTCATCTGTCGCCGCCTTCAGGTGATACGAGAGGCACATCGCATCTCGCCAAGTCAGCCGGACTATTCATCAGCAGATGTCATGATGGGCTGGAAGTTCAAGCGCACGGGAGCTGGGATTGATTCATCTCTCGCTGCCCATGTGGCCAGTGAACTGAAGGCCGAAGCAGCCATTGCAAAGGAGGCTCGGAAGGCAAAGGAAGAGCAAGCAGCCCGCCGAAAAGGTCAGAAGCCCAGGGAAGGGCAAGGCCGTCGGCGGGGGAGACGCATGAGTTTGACAGAGGCGGAGGCTTCAGGGCCTGGGGGGCCACCGCCAAGGACACAGCAGGCCAATTGCATGAACATGAAGAATTCATTTGATGGAGGGCGCCAAGATCTAGATGACCGCTGGCGAGAGCTTTTTCCTCTTCCCCTTTGTGATGACGCGGGACACGAGGCAGGTCTTTCCGTGTCGGCTCGTAGGCGGAGGGCAAAAGTTAGAGGCACAGTGGAGAGAGTTAATTCAATCATCAAGATCTTGAATGAGATGTACGCTCCTAGCCGAGAAGGTGAGTTTTGTTTTCCTCATACCACGACTGCAGCGCAAAGGGCATGTCAGCATGAGCTTTTAGGGATCTTTCCAACCAAAGGAGACCCACCAAGTTTTTGTCAGCGCGTGAAGCTGCTCAAGAGCTTCTGCAAACAGACCTGTCCTATTCGGGCGAGGTTACTACGACGGTGCGGCCCTACGACAGAGGCCTGCTCTCGATCCCCTCGACTGGAAACCAAGCGATAGACCTTCGAGGGGTTCTAGATGATGTTGGCCGAGAAACGATCGAGGGCCCCCTTCGCTGTATGTTGTTGAGTGATGAAGAGTTTGGGGTGTTGTTGGAGACACAGCCACCTATTTGCACGTACATGGATCCTGCTCTGAGAGATAACCTTCCTCTTTACTGCACGTTCATCCGGACCTCTTCACTAGTGGCATGGTGGAGTTCACTGATCGTCCGACAGGCTTGGTGACCCCATTCTGTGTTGCAAAGAAGAGTGGAAAACTTAGGCTTATATTGGACTGCAGGGACACGAACCGGGTACAGGTGCATCCTGGGCAAGGCTCTCAATTCCCCCGGGGGAGAAATTGTTTGTAGCTCAATCGGATATCAAGGACGATTTCCTGAAAGCCTTCGCTCATTGTTCTGCATGCCGCCCATCCCCTCATCGTTGTTGAGGCATTGGGGTGTGAGCGCCGAACATGGTGGCTCCCTCAACTATGACGGTGGGCTCATCCGCAGCTTCGAGTGGTGCCCATGGGATGGTGCTGGGCTATGTGGTTGTCGCAGAGGGTTCATCAAGTCCAATCTCAGATAGGCGCTGGCATTTCACTAGATCGAGTTCTAGTTGACGGCAAACCTGCTCCCAGTCTAGCAGACGGCCAGGTACTTTTGCTGCCGTACGCGGACAACTTGAATGTGGCTGGCACTGACCGGAGGCAAGTTCAATTAGCTAAGGATGGAGCAGTGAAGAGGTTGAGAGAGGTAGGGCTGTTGGTGCATGAAGAACTAGATGCTTGCACAGTTGCTCAATCTCTAACTCTAGGTTACAGTATTGACGGGGAGAGTGGAACTGTGAGGCCTGCTCCTGATCGACTTCATATGGTGCAGATGGCATGCAAGTGGCTCAGTCGACGGCCCAGAGTTACGGGGCTATCCATACAGAAGCTGCTGGGACATGCGGTGCACTTCATGTTGTTGAGAAGGGAGCTATTGAGTATACCTAGAAGATTGTATGACTTTGTTCAATATGCAGGCAACAGAAAGTGTCGTCTTTGGGCAACCGCAGCAATTGAGGCACGTTGGATTGGGGAGCTCCTCACTCTGAGCGTGGCAGACCTGAGAAGGGTTCCTTCAACTTTGTTGACTAGTTTGGACGCTTCACTTTCGGGCATAGCAGTTTGTTCAAAGCAAGAAGATTTAGATATAGTCACTTCATTGGGCAGCTTTAAAGAGGGTTGGCGTTTTAAGGGCAGGAACCCGGCTGACAGACCACGGCAGCAGGCTCTGGGTCAGCTCGACCCGTTCTCGGACGTTCGTGCTGCAAAACCAGTCGGAGTGGAGCGTGAAGATCCTTTTGAACTTTGGGTTGATTTTCCAGAGGTGGATCCTAGCATTATGGACAAGTCAAAATGGCAGTTGAAGTTTTCACAACGCATGCTTTTCCCGGAAGCAATCACCGTGTTGGAGGGTCGCGCAGTTGTGGCCACTTTGAGACAGAAGTTTAGATCAGTTGCAACTTTTGGACAGAGGCATGTTCATTTGTGCGATAATCTTGGAACTGTTCTTTCACTCCCATTACTCCGGGTTTGTAGACGGGTAGCGTGTTTGTTGCTGGCTACTTCATCTAGCTTGAAACTCCGTGGATCCCCAGTGAGATCAACGTAGCAGATGAAGGCTCTCGGCGTTGGGAACCTGCCCGGAAAACTGCTGGCAGCCAAGTCGAAGCCACAGGCCTCCACAAGAAGGCCCACAAACAGCCGACAAGCCCTTCGGCAAAGCCTGCAGAGCGACACAAAAGAAGGACGCTCAGCGAAGAGGGTGGCATTCATCGAGGGCTGCCATCCGACCCCTCGTGACCTTTTTAGAGCAGAATGCAATTTCGCACGAAGTGGCAGTGGATTACAAGACTCGGGCGCAGAATTTCAGGCGGTTTGCAAAGAGTCGCAAGCTCTCCCTTCATGGGAAGAAGAAGTTGGACGACAGTTTCTGCATATTTCTGAACGAGCTCTTCGAGCAAGGGAGCGACGTTGGAGATGCAACAAAGTATCTCGCGGCTTTGGTGGACAGCGAGCCAGACTTTTCCGGCAAGGAGAACCTCCCCCGGTCCAGACGGTGCTTGCAGGGATGGCATCGTTTGGACCCAGGAGCCACTCGCCCACCAATGCCGTGGGAGTTGATAGCAGCCATTGTCATGAAGTTAGTGCAGCGGGATCTGATAGACCACGCCCTTCTGGTTCTCTTGATGTTCGACGCTTACCTGAGGCCAGGGGAAGCGCTGGAGTTGAGACGAGAGGACCTGGTGTGGCCGACAGCACAGCATCCATACTTCTGCCTGAACCTTCACCCATCAGACAGATAGGAATGCTCAAAGATGGGAATGTCAGACGAGACCATACTCCTGGATTCACAGACGACTCCATGGATGGGAGCGCTCTTGAGGCATCATCTCAGTCTGCGCAGAAGCGTGAAGATGTTTCATGTAGATTACAGAGGCCTTCGAGACGCATGGCAAGACTCACTGGAAAGCTTAGGGCTTTGCAGGACACATTCAGTTCTTTATCAGCTCAGGCACAGTGGTCCATTATACGACAGGATGACAAAACAACGCAGTCTTTTGGAGGTCAAAAAGAGAGGGCGCTGGTTGTCGGACAGTTCCGTGAAGCGATACGAGGCCAGCGCCCGACTCAACCAGGAATTCCAGAAGCTACCACGATCGGTGCAACGGCGAGCAATACAAGCTCCAAGCCAGGTGCAGCAGTGGGCCCAAAGATTCTTCTCCCGGAAGCGAGCAAGGACCGCAGAATCTGGGTGTTAGAGATTTTTAGCGGCTCAGCTCACTTGTCGAAAGCTTTGGTTCAGCAGGGGTTTCGTTGTGCAGCTTGGGGCATAGAATATAATGAACATTGTGATGTACTCAACAGTGTGGTTTTGCGGCAGTTGCTTTCATTTTTGGTGATGCGCAGGGTTGTTTTAGTCTGGTTTGGAATGCCATGCCAGTCCTGGAGCAGAGCTAGGCGTTTTGATGGGGGACCTCCCCCCCCTTCGAGATGATCATGACTTTATTTGGGGACGCAAGCAATTGGGACACGGGGACATGAGCAAGATACATCTAGGCAACTTATTGTTGTTTTGGACTGTCTTCATGGCTCAGATCTGTTCTTCTCTGCAAATACCCTGGGTCATTGAAAACCCTGGCAGCTCCAGGTGTTGGTTAACTCCAGATTTTGGCATACTTCAACAGACAGCCCAGTTGTTTTTCGTTGACTACTGTCAATATCGGATGCCCTGGCGAAAAAATACTGGACTTTTGACTTGTGATTTCCCAGAGCTGGGAACCATCTTGAGAACTTGCAAGTCACACCTTGGTCGCTGCAGTGCCACGCATCGAAAACACATTGTTTTGACAGGCAAAGACTCCAATCAAGTTTGGTGGACTCACAGGGCCCACCCCTATCCCCCCCTTCTCTGCCACGAGATAGCCGCAACCTTGGCCAGTGCACAAAGTTGTGGGGTCGGGATGAGCAATGCTTGACGTTCGACTGGCTTCTTCAAGAACTCTTTCGATGCGCCGAGACCGACTCTCACAAGCCTTGTAACCAGACAGCGCCCAACACGGGCACTTGCACGTCAAAAGGTGCGGTGATGCTGGCACGGATTGGAGTGGGATCATATATATATATATTTATATACACATTCTTGTGATCCAGTTTAAAACCCTTTGAGTATATATATATATACACGTTTAGCTTGGCTGGCAAGCAGCTTGTTGATAAACAGACAGGAACCGCGCATTTCAACTCATTGCAGTTTCAAGCAAACTCCAACGTGGGACAGCTTTGGCCCTTGAAGCAGCGCTTGGGTGGGAAAACATATTGAACAATTCTTCAATCATTAAAGCTGGCCGCACCACACAAGAGGTGGGTTTGACACCATCTCCCGCACGGAGACAAAGGCGAAGGGCCCTTGCCTTTGTTTGAATGCTTCATTCATTATTTTTGCTGCTGCATTCGTAGTAAACTTGCTCGCGGCTTTGTAAGCCGGCTTGGCGCAAGTACTGTAAGTAATTATGTAGATGTTCAACACAAAGATGTGGCACTTCCATTTTTGAGCAGACTGCACTTTGTGTAGGTTGTGTTTCCATGCAGGGTGGCTTCACCAGAACTGTTGTGGAAATTGTCCCGAAGGTTGGAGCTGGGGCCACTCCGTTAGGGGTCAGTGAAAGTCTAAGGTCTAAGGCCTAAGGGTTGTGAAATGAGATTGCGCGGGTGCTCGACTACACCAAATACACAGACACAAGGAACCTTACTTGTGTTGCTGGCGTGTGTGTATATTGCAAAAAACAAGGAAAGTCAGACCCATTCAGTTACGAAAAGTACAAGTTATCACTCCTAAGGCAACATGGTTTTTGGTTTGAACTGAAGACCAGACTCCGAGCCACATATGCAACTGAGAGTTGCAGGCAGAGAATTGCACTCGGTTTATCCTTGGCCGTGGTTTGGACGATGTCTTGCAGAAGCCCGGTGCCCCGGAAATTCAGAAAAACACAAAGCTTTGTGTATAGAGTTAAACTTCGGAGTGATCATTCGTAATTTAAGTGATTGGTCGGGCGGTGTTGGTAACATATACCGTATATGTTACCAACACCGCCCGACCAATCATTTAAATTTAAGATCTCTTGCACCTCAAGCGTTCAAGAAAACAGCACGACCTTTATGTATTGCTCGGACCTTAGAGCAAAACAGACTGTTACATGTTCTAGTGCCGTGAAAGAGCATGAGTGCATTTTTTGTTTTTGTTTTTTTTTGCACTGTTCAATTTTATCATTTTTGTGAGGTCAAAGTCCATCGTACAGCTCTTGAAAGCATCCGCTACAGACTGGGAGGCCCACTGGATTTCTCCGACTCTTCAGATCACAACAACCCACCATACCAGAGGTGAGCCCTCGAACATGGCCGTCAACTTCGGTATGTTCTCAACAAAACAGAGAACAACTATATATTTACTAGTAAATGTACAGGTCTACACCGTCTATGCCCTGTTTGGAAACGACCTTCACTTTACAACACAGGAGAGATGGTGATTGATTTTGATCCGGCACTGCCACTAGTCTTCCTTAAAAGGGCAAAAGGATCGTGAAAATCAACGAGAGAGTAGAATAAGGAAAATGCAAGCGAACTGAAGGAGGTCATTGCATTGAAGTGGCTATGGGTCAAAACTCTAGGGAGGTCAACCTGACAGGGTTTTGGGCTCCGTTCCTTTTAACGCCGCACGATCGATGCAGTCAGAGAGCGAACATCGATCCTCCACCCGACACAGGAGGTGGATGACAGGGAGTAAAACAATGAAGAGGACGCAAGGAGAGAGCAACCACCCGAGGGGAGCTCCCACCTATGGTGTGGTGTGAGCCGCCGTACCGGTGCTCAAGACCATGCTATGACCTCGCATCATGCAGGGCGAGCATGCCCAGGAATTAAGAGTGGAAGAAACAAAGTGCCAGCTCTACAACCAGCAAGCAAGCTCGGTGTCAAGACGCGAAGCGCAGCTGGGTTTGGAAATGGAACACGAAAACATGCCAGGAAGGATGGGCCGGGTAGAGCCCTTTGAATTGGCCTGTGAGTAGCTCAAGGCGACAAGAACCCATGCTGTACAGCTGTACAAAGCACATGCTCAGCGAAGATATTCTTTCAACGATCAGGACTCTCATCCAGGAACTGCATTGGTCCCTCCAAGAGTGAGTCTGGCCAAACACAGCCTCAACAGAATCCAGAATTATGGCGGGAAACCTACGAGGCATGGATGAAAGCAAGACATCTAGTGGTCAGAGAATCCACGGGTGGTCGGCGTGGGTAGCCAACCTTAATGGACACCATCTACCAATGGCCCCGGGGCCCTTCGAAGCTCCCTGAGCTTCAGCAGAGCAATCGGCCAATTTGACACTGCCACGCCCTGCAGTTGGAGGTTTCTGATTATCATGCGTTCGACTTCCAAAATGAAGTATCCTTGTGGCAGCACGCCACCGCAGCGCAAGCATCTCGTTAGTCTTGCTGCGGTTGTCAGCAACGGATGCATGGCAAAAGAAAAAGGATAAACATAGGAACGACCGTGACATTTCCAGGACCAAAGTTTCAACAAAATAACTCCCTTCGTTGTGGGTCCTGGAGAGGAACCAGGACAAGTAGAACGACCCCACGAGATGCACACGAACCGCACCTTGCTCCCTGCACCGACTCATTCAGCTGGAATTGCGATGTCAACGGTCAGCCGGTCAGCTATTATTATATGTAATTGGACCCTCCAGTATCGGCAGGGATTCTTGCTGAGAAGAAGTAAGGAAATTTGTGGCCGTTCTTACCACTCACAGCTAAGTTCAGTATTCCGCATGGTACAACGTAGCCCAGGAGGCCGATTGGGGAGAGTCTGAAGGTCCTTCAAACTCTTATGCAAACGTGTGCTCTTTGTTCTCTCAAACTGGCTGCGCAGAAACCCAACGAGCAGAAGGATAATCGTCAGCGACTGAGTTTGTTTTGCAGTGCCAAAGAAGATTTACAGCTACGAGGTATGTTTGCAAACTCACTGAACGAAAACAGCTTGCAGTGACTTTGCCCACAATTGGGTATGCGTCAGCAACGTTGAGGATATCTCTTTTTTCTGCTGTTGCCGCTCAACCTGATTTTTTTCTTCGCAGCGTGGGATCCTGAGTTTGCGCCTATTGTAGCGTTTACTTGCGTTTACTTAATTTTCCATAAACATCTAGGAACCAAATCACTAGTGCGAGCGCTTCTTCAAGGAAGCTTCCCCCGCCGCCTTTTGGGCGGCGGAGCTTGCTTGAAGAAGCGTGAACTATCCTGCGTCCATGCTAGCAGCTACTTAAACTACTAGCTACCCAGCTTCTACTAGCTACCTCTAGCTACTACCTACCTCACCTCTAGCGGCCTACCCACCGAAAAAAAGGGTAAAACACAAAACACAAAATTATACAAAAAGGACAAGCACCTTTGATTTGAGTTCAGTTTCTTGGTGCCCAGGGGAGCGATATTCCGGTGGTACGAGCGCTTCCGGCTGAAAGCTGCAGCTTGGCAGATTCAAGTTGTTTCTTACGTTTTGGTCGAATGAATATCGAATAGCAGTGGGAGGGGATTCTATTTTGCTTCGAAGTTCTTTTGTGGCAAGCTACTCATACTGAATCAGGACGAAGTTTCCTCATCACAGCTGAGTCTGTGACACTATGTGACACTAAAATCAATTGCTCTTACTGTAGGATATATTCAATTCCTTCCAGTGAGTCGGTCTTGGCCTCTGCATTTTCCTGGCCGTTGCCGCTGTCAGGCAAGGGTGATGGGCAAAAAGAAGAAAATGTGTTGCTGCCACGTTTGAGGGAGGATGAGAAGGATGCAAACGCACCAATATACCGATACTCGGTACCAATCACTAATTGACTCTTTCTTTGCTCTCTAGACTCTAGCTTGTCTCTGGGGTAGCGTGGGGGCAAGCAAGTCCCCTATCTTCTGGAGCTTCAGGCAAATTGTGGTTTTAGCTTCATCGCACAGATTCCAGGTGTCACTTGCAGTGTTGGTGAAAAAAGTAGAACAGGAATGATCCAGAGTTGCATACATGTATATACTGTGTATACAGACCGTGTATACAGTCTACAGTATAGATAGATTGTTCATTTTTTCAAGTGACATCGTTGTGTTTGCGCACAGGGTGAGGAACGAACGCCATTTTTGGGTCAAGCTGGGAGGCCTTTTTGTTTTGGCCTTGCTTTCAGGCCCTTGTGTTTCTTGCCTCTCATGCCGCCGTCATAGTCGTAAACTTACTGTAAACTAAGGTAACACGACTCTCCAGCGCGAAAGCTGCCATGCTAGGATCAAAGTCACAAAGACGCTGGTTGAGAAGGACAAGAGAAAGTCAATCGTTGATCGTTTCGTCTCCATCTCAGGGACAATCACAGAACACTCTTTGAGAGATGGAAAGAGGACGTCGAGTAGCACAGTGCACTTCCTATACTGAAGGAGGCACATACACAGACGTTACACACCCATTCTTTTGCGCAAGGGCAGGATGCACATTGACCAGACGGCTGGCCGAGGTGGCCCTACACTCTGAAGTTGAGATGGCTGAGGCACGGCGAAAGATGTGTTCCGTCAGAGGCGCTTTTGCGTGTCATAGATTGATTGAACAGCGCAGTGCTGCCTGTGCAACTTCTCTTGCAAGGAAACCAAACTAGAAAAAGGCATCCAGCTGAACCGCAGCTGTTTGTCCTTCAACTCTTTCAGGTGAAAAAGAGGCTGCAACCCCTTGTGAAGCTCAACAGCCCAATGACGGTGAGAGCGCGGCTGAAGGGTGGCTGCTTGCGCCGAGTGCTTAGAAGACAAGTAAGTAATTAAGTGGATAGTAGCTTCTTGTTACTACTAGTAAGGCATCTGTTACTAGTAGCGTGGCACTTGTTTCTAGTAGCTTCTTGTTACTATTTTAATGCTTATAGTCTGGATTGGTGCATCAGAGTCAGAGTATTTGTTCCTCGATGCATTTGCTTGCGCTATGAGCTTTGCCCAAGGCCACAATGTTCAGCAGGGTGTACGCGCCTCAGGATAATGGTTCTTTAGAGGCCGCTTCTCACCACATAGTTTGTGATGGACATCCAGTACTCACTGGCACTGGCATGCTGAGGTTGCTGATGGCAATGGAGCAGCCTTTGATCCAAATGCGTGGGGCCGCTCAAGATTCACTCCTCGTTTGGCTTCAGGGATGTTCTTGATGGTAGCCTGGTTCGGCCGCAAGCTTAGACCACGAGTATAGGATGTCCTCAAACCTCACCTCAGTCCTTGACAACAACATCAGTGGAATATCAGCATACTAACACCAACGTGAGACAGTCCCAGTGGATCTGGTCACCAATGCGAGTGCACACAGTCCAGTGCAGATAGTGCAGTCTGAGAGAACATTTGCAGAAAGATGGAGATAGGCCAGACTAGACCAGACCAGGCCAGGCCAGGCCAGACCAGACAGACAGAGACAGACAGACAGACAGACAGACAGACAGGCAGGCAGGCAGGCAGGCAGGCAGGCAGGCAAATAAACTGGCAGACAGGCAGACAGAGAGACAGAGAGACCGAGAGACAGAGAGACAGAGGGACAGCCAGCCAGACAGGCAGACAGGCAGCCAGGCAGCCAGAGAGCCAGACAGCCAGCCAGCCAACAGACAGACAGACGGACAGACAGACAGACAGCAACATAACCTGGCGAGTACTCAGTGTGTGGATGGTGTACTGCTTCCACTGATGCCCGGAGGTTTTGGAACTTTGAGCCAATTGGAGAGGACATGGGTCCAGACGCAGTGATGCAGGCAGAAGTTGACGTTGATAGTTGTTGATATGTTGCATCAAGGGGCTGTGCGCTTATATGATTCGATTGAACCAATGCACGACTTCGGACACTCCGACACCTTGGATTCCACACTGACGGCACATTACAGCATGTAAGACTGCATTGAGACGCCACATTAATTGCATTGGGACATTGGGACATGTTGCAGTGAGGTTTGTGAAGTCCATGTTTTTTTCCATACGCCAACACTGCTGGATTAGGCAGGGCAGCCCGTGCATATAAAAAACAACAAGGGAGAGCTCCTTTGCATTTGCGCTGGCCTTGAAGTATGGAAAGACAATGGCACAGCCGGGCACAGGTCGAGAATTTCAAAATTGTTGCAGCCCAGGTCCTTCAGATAAGCCTGGGGAGTCCAAGACCATGTTTGTTCCAGCTGGGGAGGCTAGGCGAGAGAGTGAGAGGTGAGCTGAGAGATGAAGAGAGATCAAGAGGTGGACCATGGCCTGACCTTGGCAGGCCTCTTCGACATCCACAGAATTTGTGGTTTGCGCCACAACTGGGGACGTGCCTTCGGCGACAAATGGGGGGCAAACATCAGCTGCGAATTGCGTTCAAGTAGACAGTTAAACGGTACACACTTCTGGAGCCAGCTGTAAGATTTGGGTTTAGAGTTTGGAGGGGCGTTCAATTGGCTAACAATGCAGACAACTCGGAGAATGTGCAATTCCCAACTGTCCAACTGTTGCCAGGATGATGCTGCCAAACTGGGCGAGACCGTTCGGATCATGCCGGCGGCCTGAGTTTTCGAATCAACGCCGTAGCGAATGGACCTGACCTCACTCCTAAACCTTTCGGGCAGAGCCTTGCGGGCCTTGCTTCTAGTAACAGACTCAGGGCCTTGTGGGTTGGATTTGGGTGTCTGCTATAGGTCCAAGGCGACCGGCCAATTCTTGCGGGTGAAGAAGGATGGCACTTGTGCGAACCTGAGAACGATAGAGTGATAATATGTAATAATTGCGTAACTAATCATTCACCCATAGATTGAAGTGAACAATTACCTGTTAAATATATAAATAGAGGTCGGGATAGATTTACATAAATATGATATGTTATCGTTTTAGATAGTTGCACGGTACGTGACAAGAATACCCATGCAATCCATAATATGACTGTATAATATACACACACACATCCGCGGTGACTTCCACAAGACCCCAAAAAGCCATTCTAATTTTAATTTACCATTAGCTTTAATTCTAGAACAGTCCTGAACGTCAAGTCCTGAAAAGAGTCCGAGGCACCCGTTTGTCAAGTACGCTAAAGGTCATCGAAAACAACTGCCACTCTGTTGCGCAAGAGGTGATGGCAGTGGCACTTCGAAAGAGACGGAGCGGCAGGGAAGCGAAGACGTGAACCGCCGCGACATGCCATGTTCTCTAGGACGCTACATGACGCTACTAGGAAAAAGGGCATCGCTACTAGGAGCAAGGACGCCACTAGGAGCCGGGGACAAATGACATGATCTCTCGGTGAAGGACATTTGCATACAACCTGAGCTGCCAATCGAAGGAGACGCACTTCGTCATCGATCAGGGCGGGCAAGCTGCGAATGCAGGTTTCGCCAAGGGACCAGGGTTGACATCTAGACGGGGTTCAGAACATCAGGAGAGATGTTATACCTACGACTACGAAGGTTGTTTGTGAAAAGTCATTTGTCCAAGGAGGGAACAGTTTGACATTATGCAACAGCGGAATGGTTGGGCAGATGCTTACAACTCATAGAACAAGCAGTGATTGATGTTTATTGTACCACAAGACTATTCATTGACGCTGCTTTTGCTTCAAGCCCACGATTATCGATCGTCGCACAGTCTTGAGTGTGGCTGAGATGCAGCTAGTCGTTCAGCATATTAATTAATGGCATAGCTGGTGCTTGAAAGTGAAAGAACATATTTGCGCCCCTCAGTTTCAAGATATGTCCCAGGGATCCCAGGGGCGGTTTTAGACTGTTTCAGTAATATATATATATAATTTGGGCCCTGCCCCCCCCACAGTAACAGTCGTAAAGGGTCAGGGCCCTTAAACCATACCTCCAAAAACAATAATCATATTCAAAGTCATTAAAGGAAATTGGATTGTAATTTCTGGTCTAGGAAACGCAAAATGATTGGAGTAGTGGGCGGGTTAACTCAAAAGAACACAAATCTGAACATAATTGCAAACCAACAACAACCAGTATCATCCCAATCCCTTCACTAATTTGTCAATCTCAAGTGGCAATTCAAATTATGATATGATGGCTCAAGACTGGAACGGTAGCAGGTGGCCAGGATTGCGTGCTCTCACAGCCAAAGGAAAGAAAGAAAGAAAGGAAGGGAGATTGTGATTACACTGGTTGCAGGATGAGAGCCAAGTCCAAATTGGCTCTGGCTCCCTGCTCCACCCTGGCTTCCGGCTCCCCACCCATCGCTCCCGGCTCCTCACCTTGTCGCTCCCGGCTCCCCACCTCGTCGCTCCCGGCTCCCCACCCCAAATTTTCAAAAAAATTGTCCAAATCCCCGTGGTTTTTTGTGCTTTTTTTT